TATCAAATTTGTATATCTATAGTCTACTCGGCTTTGTTCTAATGCTCCTAATACTGCCGGTAATTCCACGGTATCAAAAGCTTTCTTGAAGTCTATGGAAATCAACGTGAGTTGTTTATTATATTCAACACATTTTTCAATTAGTATTTTAAGTGCTTGTAGGTGGTCATTTGTTCCATAACCTTTCCTAAACCCAGCTTGCTCCTTAGACTGATAGAAATCTAATTTTCGTTCTAAAAGTTTTGTGATGATCTTGGTAAACCATTTGTAGAGATGTGATAACAGACTTATCGGTCTATAATTCTCTAGGTCTGATATATCTTCTTTTTTGTGTATTAGGATAGTAATTGCATTGTTCCATTTTGTAGGGACAATACCTTGGTTTAGACATAGGTTGAATAGTTCAGTTACTACTTCCAGCAGTTTCTTGCCTCCTACTTTAACAGCTTCTATTACTATTTGGTCATCTCCCGGAGCCTTGTTGTTTTTCATTTCCTTTAGAGTTCGTTTCACTTCTTCTATCGTTATGGTAGGCAGAAGTTCGGATCCTTGGTTCATTACTCTGCGTTCTCTAATTTGTGTTTTGTCTTCTTCTGTTAACTGGCTTTTGTATAATTCTTCATAGAAGCTTTTTGCTATGTCTACTATTCTCTCTCTATATATAGTAATATATATAATAGTAACGAGCGGCAAATGAATATAATAGTAACGAGCGGCAAATGCTGCTCGTATATTATTAAAAACTATTATAATACGAAATATTTCATAACTAGAGCATATTCTTCGAGAAGACCGGTACAGAATATTTAACCTTATCATGAAAGCTCGCATTCAATCAAAGGCCGCAGAAGAATTGCAAGGAAGATGTCATGGCTCAAAAACATTTGCGATTGGATAGGAACATGCAGTGCTGCACAACTGTTTAGATTAGCTGAAGACCGTGAGAAATTCGCCAATTTAATTCCCAACGATAGGGGGAACTAAAATGGCACCGAAAGAAGATATCTAACGTATGATTTTATTTTTAATTTTTGTTAAGAATACGATTTTAATTTAAATAAAATGTTTTATTTCAGTTACATTTGAAAATGAATAAATAACCAGATAATGAAAATACTTGAAAAAACAAGTGAATATAACATCGACACACATCATCTCTTCATAGACTTCGAAAGCGCATATGACAATATAAACCGAGAATTCCTAACAAAAGCAATGAAAGAATTTAATATACCAACACAGCTAATAGAATTGATAAAAGAAACACTAAAAGTAGAAAGTAAAATCCGGATACAAAACGAATTAACGGAAACAATAGATGTGAAGAAGGGACTACGCCAGGGAAACGCTCTATCATGCATATTATTCAATATCATACTTGAAAAAATAATAAGAGACACAACAGTTAATACCCGAGGAACAATAATTAATAAAAGCGTGCAAGTACTAGCATTTGCAGATGATGTTGACATAATCGCAAGATCAAGAAGAGAAATGATAGAGGCATTCACTCAAATAGAACGAGCTGCAAAAAATAGTGGTCTTAAAATCAATCAGACAAAAACAAAATATATGCCTACAAATAAAAACGCACAAATAAGGCAGCTGCCAAATTTAACAATAGGAGAATACAACATTGAGGCGGTAAAAAACTTTACATACTTAGGATCCCTAGTTACGTCTGATAACAACGTTGCAGAGGAAGTGAAGAGGAGAATATTTATTGCCAATAAATGTTACCATGGCTTAATTAGGCAATTAAGATCAGATAACGTCTCCAGAAAAACAAAATGCCAAATATACAAAACCTTAATAAGACCGGTACTCACATACGGTTCAGAAACCTGGACACTCTCTAAAAGGGAGGAAACGTTATTAGCCACCTTTGAAAGAAAAATCTTGCGACACATATATAAGGGCACAAAAGAAAACGGGATTTGGCGGAGAAGGTATAACTTTGAACTATACAACATATACCAGGATCCGGATATCATAACATTCATTAAAATAGGAAGGCTACGTTGGATTGGACATGTGGAAAGAATGGAAGAAGGCGAAATACCAAACAAAATATTCAAACAAGTGCCAGTAGGAAAAAGAACAAGAGGAAGACCGAAGCTGAGATACGTAGAACAAATAGAAAATGATATAACAACATTAAAAATTAAAAACTGGAAAAAAAAAGCACGAAACAGGTCAGAATGGAGAAGAATCCTTGAACAGGCCAAGACCCAAAAAGGGTTGTCGAGCCAGTGATGATGATGACTAAAAATATTGATATTTGTGATATCTAGTTTTCATCTAGTGGAATGAATAGCTTCACGTAGAAGCGTAAAATTTTTCTATCTAAGAATTTTGGAGATAAAACAAGAAGTATGGTGTTTAAGTTTTAGAAATTTGGAAATGACTTTATGGTCTCAGCAGGCTTTCTTCTTCTTGTAGTGCATATCCGTTTCGGATGTTGTAGCTGATGTAGCTTCACGGAGAAGCGCAAAATTGGTATATCTAAGAATTTTGGAAATATAACAAGAAGTATGGTGTCTGAGTTTTAGAAATTTGGGAATCACTTTATGGTCTCAGCAGGCTTTCTTCTTCTTGTAGTACATATCCGTTCCGGATGTTGGCGACCATCATGGCAATCTGTATTTTGCAAGCTGCAGCTCTCAAAAGATTTGTGGTTGATGTGTTGAACCACGTACATAGATTTTTCAGTCAGGAAATTATGTGCCGTCCTGTTCATCGTTTTTCTTCTACTTTTCCTTGAAGAATTAATTGCAGCAACTCATATCTTTCGCTGTTCCTCATAATGTGACCGAGGTATTCAATTTTGGCTGTTTTTATTGTAGTTAACAACTCTTTTCTTTTTTGCATGGTCGGTATAGGATATCTTCAGGATTCTACGATCAAGTCACGTTTCGAAAGCCTTAATTTTCTTACAGGTAGCGCCTGTGAGAGTCCACGACTCGACTCCGGAAGGCTTTAAGGAAGATATAAATGAACCATCTGCTGTTACCAGTAGCAGTAGTGTATTGAATAGTGATCAGTGTAGTAGTGTCTGGGGCTCAGGAGACTAAGACTTCGGAAGCCCTGAAGAAGACATGAGAGAGGACGTCGAAAGCTCGGCGCAGTAATAATTTAACGTACCCTCTTATACGTACAGCGCAGTTTTAAACGTTCCCAACGAGCGACGATAGGTGCGTAGGTATCACAGAACAACGTTGAATCACATCTGGTGTTTTTGGGTTGGCGGGATATTAGTATGAATTAGTTCTTCACGATGGAAGGCCGAAATTTTCGTCAAAAATGTAAGTATTTTTTTATAGTAAAGAAGCCTGTTTTTTTTTTTAACCAATGTGTTACATTTAATATTGTCTAGCCAAATAATTGCAGTGTTTTATTGTTTATTTATGTTTTATTTCTATTTCTACTTACACATTTGTGTAGGTTGGGATTAACTGTGTTTTTATTTATTTTTTAATTTAGATTTCTTGGACAAGCCAAAAGATGTCTATGAACTTCTAAGGATGATGGATGAAGACTCAGAGGTAGAAGGTTTTAGCGACGATTCGGATGCTGACCCTACATGGCAGACAGGACCCTACTAGGATTCTGACAGAGAGAGCGATGGCGAGTCGGATAGTAGCGATCAGCAAATTCAGCCTTTAAACGAAAACTTGGTAAGAAACGAACCTATTATATATGAATTTGAAAATGAACCAATCTAGAGCTAACTGTCAAATGAAAAATATTCCAAAACGATAGGTAAAGGATCTCCTATCCTTTAGAATATAACTTGCTGAAACATTAATTAATTAATAGTGATTAAAAAAAGGAAGAAAGAAAGCCTCCAACAAAAAAGCCACAAAATTATAGAGCTGCAGTGCCAGCTGAAGATAAAAGATTGGGTAGCGTTGAGCATTTTCCAACTGTAGATCAGCTAACTACAGCCAGATTTTGTCGCAGAAGCACTTGCAAAGTAGAACGCAAGTCAGGTATTTAAAATGTAATATTTATTTGTGCCTTACAAAGGATCAAAATTGTTTTTTGTATTTTCATACACTGTAGATCTAACTACAGCCAGATTTTGCCGCAAAAGCACTTGCAAAAGTAGAACGCGAGGCAGGTGTTTAAAATGCAATGTTTGTTTTGTGCCTTACAAAGGATCAAAATTGTTTTTTGTATTCTCATACACGGTAGATTTAATATTTTGTATTACCTAAAATAAAACCTATCATACACAATTGTGGGTACTTTTTTTTAAACACTTTGTACCTAGATTTTTTATATTTTTTTCTCCGTTATTATAAGTAACCTCCAAGTATTATTTGCACCAAATTTTACCAAGTTCTGAAGAACAAATTATTATGTTCAGGTCTGAAAGACCTGAACATAATACCTGACCTGAATATATATTATATATATATATATATATATATATATATATATATATATTATACAACTATAAGGTGTATCTTGAAAGTAACATTGTAAATTTAGGTGGAAACTTTAAATCATTATTTTTTCTTAAACTTTGGTTAGAATAAAATTGCTAATTAGTCTAAAAGGAGGCCGTATTGTAATAATATGCATCACAGGTGTAGTTGAAACGAATTGATGTTGCTACTATGTTGTTACGATAGACAAAAAAAACATTGAAAAACTACATGTCATCAAAACTAATTCTAAAAAATCGATGTCAAACGAAATTTCAAATTGTAAAAATGAAATAATGCTGATAACTGTTATGGTAATTATCATAATTATTAATAGACATTATATAAAATGTTTATATAATAATTTGGTATAAAGTGATCGGCAATATTGAATAGAATAATCTGTAAAACTGATTTTAGATAGAAATCTTGGTTATTACATTTACCCGTTTATCTATTTACTACTACTCATATCCAAATAGTAATGTTCTTTATTTTCTTGTACATTATTACAATTGTGAATATTTCTTTTATATGTGCATTGAAATTAGAAGAAAAATTGCTTACCCATCTCCACTGTGAACTGAACAGTGGCAAAATAGCTTGTCCAAGTAACGCATTAACAAATAAAGCTTTTGAATGGCAATTCTGACCAAAAATAAAAAGGGTTGGCACTCTTTCTAATTTTGGACGAATCAGTTCAATATCCAGTTGAAATGATTCATCTTTTTCTGAAATAAAAAAACATCAAACATATTATTATAGTTATGTACACACACATACACATTATATATATATATATATATATATATATATATATATATATAAATATCGAGAAAAGGAGTACGACCGTCAATTCAATATAAATTAAGGATCAGTCGGGGGAGTGGTGGGTTTTTTCGGTCAAAAGGTGGAGAAAAGGGACAAAGATGATGGCTACTTCATCTATTTATTGAAGACGTTTCGCTTTCTTAATCAGAAAGCATCATCAGTTCATCTAAAAAGAACAATATGAAAAAAACCACACAAGCATGGAAAAGTTGATACATGTGTTACCTTAAAAAGATATGTACGATTGTGATGTATAAACAATAAATTGAACTAACTACAATTAACAATTTGTTAAAACTTAACACAGCAAAAGAACATGTGGTCTATTATACATGTATAAGTAATAAAAAAACATTAACTTGAGATTAAAGAACTAAGAATATCAAAGATGCACTTCTAACGATAGATTGATAATTATGATTTAATTTTAACTTTAGGTAGCATTATTAAATTGATTAATATTGAAATTTAATAATCTAATGTATAATGTATAATGCCGTGAAACGTGAAAAGACAGCCTCCTTGAGGTCATGAAATTATGATCAGCAATATATATATATATATATATATATATATATATATATATATATATATAATATTAATGTGATAATAAACGTCTGAGGTGCGCCAAGCAATTAATTATATAATTAATTAATCAATTAAACTTATTTAAATGATGCAATTATGATTCTATCACACTATTTAATTCTCTTATCTCAGGGTTATACTCGTGCTTCAATATCTATGCTTTACATATGATAGCTAAGGTCCAAAGAATACCGGAATAATAAAAAACATATATGATACAACATTATATATTGTAATAAAAATATATTGAAATAAAATTCACACTCAAATATCTTCAATAAAAATATCTCATATAATGATTATCAAAATTTTGTTCTACGTACGTGAACCTTCAAAAATGTATGGTACATACAATATAAATTAAAATTTCAAATCAAAATTGTTGTTCTATATCTCCTGATCAAAGTATTCCTATCTTTTCTAAAGCAATTGTAAAAATTGTGTGGTTAATAAAAAAATTAACGATATCTCCGATCCAAAATCACAATTTTAATCGCTTTATGTTTAATAACTGCATCTAAAAATATTAGATTGGAATTAGAATTTTGTCTTTCATTTTCTATTGCTACATGATTCATCTCCCTTCTAATTTGACGTTGGAAACTCTGATTATTTCTATCGTCCCTTTTTCGTTCGTATTCCTATTCGGAGGATTTTGTGCAGCTCTGTTCCTGTTGTGATTTTCATATGTTCTATTTTGTGTGTCATTCCTGTTATCGTAATTTTGTTGTCTATTGGAATTGTGGTATTCTCTTGGCCTATATTCATTTGTTGATCGGGGATGTCGGTTTCTCTGGTCATAATTTGATTGATACCTTCTTTCCGGTCCATTACATTGGTAATGTTGTCTTCTGTTTCTCATTTCTCTTCTTTTCGCTTCTTTTAATTGAAGGAATTGGCACAAACTATCAATATCTTGATAGTTTCTCAAAATCACGTGATCCTTCAAAGTTTCCTCAAAATGTCTGCTGATCATTTCTACCAGCTGTTCGGTAGAATATTTGTATTCCAGATATTCTGAATTGTTATATATCTGCAAAGCATATCTTTCTTCAGATATTTCCATTTTCTCGTGATATTTTCCATTCTGTAGCTTTTGGTTGATTTCCCTCTGTTTATTTTTCCCCCAGAAATAGTTGAGAAATTTATATTCGAAATCTGTCCAATTTTCAAACTCATCTTCTTTGCTTTCATACCATAACGCTGCTCCTTTCAGATGGTTTCTAATGGTTTCTTTGCAATCGTCAAAATATCTAACATGTTGCAATTTGGTTATCAAATTTTTAACAAACAGTACTGGGTGTGTTTTTTTAATATCCCCGCCAAATTGTATTTTCGCCTCGCTTGTTCCATTTGTTTTTCATTTTGCTTAAGTTTCCTTTCCATTTCTTTCCTGTCTTCTTGTAACGCCATTTCAAATTTTTCTTCTAACTGTTCTAATTCCTTTTTCTAGACATTTCGTATCTCCTTCATTGTATTTTGCATATCTTTAATCTCTGTCTCTTGTTTTGTATTGTTTAGGGTTATTTCTTCTATCTGTTGTATCAGTTCTTTCTTTATCCCCTCAACACATCCTTTAATTTCCTGTTCATAGTTTTCCAAACGCTGCTCTATATTCCTGTTATTTAGTTCTATTGCTTGTCTTGTTTCCTGTTGGTTTTCTTCCATTGTTTGTTTTGTTTTTTGTTAATTTCTATCTATTTTCTTTGATGTTTCATTCATTTTTTTGTTTCATCCATTTTTTAATGTTTCTTTTTGGTTTTTCTCTATTGTTTGTGTCTGTATTTGCATCATTGCTAATAATTTTTCTAACATCCCTGTTTCTTTTCTTTCCTTCATTATTGTAGCATTTCCTTCATTATCCGATCCTTCTTCAACAATTGTTTCCTCTTCTCTGTTATCCTCCTTCCTTTCCTGCATTTTGCTTTGTCTCCTTGTGACTGACATGTTGTTTCTTTTCGCTACTGTTTTTGTCCCCGCCAAATGTGAAATTTTACAACACTCTAAATGTTGCAGAACATGACAAACATTTCTCCCTAATTGTAATAAATTTTCACGACAAATATCAAATATGCAATCAGTAAAATTCAAATAATTCAACATAAATATCAAATGTACGATTGGCAAAGAAAATAAAAATCAAATAATTCAATAGCAGTAAATATCAACTAACTACGATCAATCAATAAATCAAATTTTTATCCACTGGAAAAATTGTCCAAATAATTTAAAATTCAAAATTCATTCAAAATCTCCGGACCACCTGTAATTATTTCGGCTCTCCTTCCCTGTTATCAAATATAAAGCTTGCGATATTTTCAAGCCCCACGTTTTGAAAGCCAGTTGATGTGATATTAAACGTCTGAGGTGCGCCAAGCAATTAATTAGATAATTAAACTTATTTAAATGATGCAATTATGATTCTATCACACTATTTAATTCTCAGGGTCATACTCGTGCTTCAATATCTATGCTTTACATATGATAGGTAAGGTGCAAAGAATACCGGAATAATAAAAAACATATTTGATACAACATTATATATTGAAATAAAAATATATTGAAGTAAAAAAGAGGTTAGTCTTCGTAAATGGGTATATTTATTTAAAAACCCTTAAATGGGCTACATCAAAGAAACAAACGTTTTCGGACTAAACAGTCCATCATCAGGTTTAAAATTTTAAAATTGCAAGGTTATAATTCCTGAGCCACAGAAATACCTGGGTAAAAACCCTTTAAATTACATATAGTTGTAAAAGATTATACATCATGTTGTAAAAAAACTATGATGTTCAGTATTAAATTGAATTTGACTTCAGGTAACATACATGGCTGAAGTGAGTTCCAGAGCCGGAGAATAAACCTCTTCACATGGAGAACCAGCTGGTTAAATAAAAAAAACTGACGAATAGTAAAACTATCTCTCTGATGATGAGTTGTCCAAATCCTTGTTCCTTGTAGCCTGCACTATCTATTCTAAGCAGCCCCCTAGGTAATCAACAATCTTACAACAAAGTGTTGAGAGCCTACCGTCTTTAATGATCCTCTTCAAATGCACATATCGTTCAAATGATGCTCGCCTCTTCTGCTTTCGATAAACTGAATCTCTCGTTCTGGCCTGAACAGTGACTCTTGGAATATAAGTAGAAAAATATAACTTACAATATTTTACTGGATCAACTTCTGTCAGATACACTAACTCCACGAAAAACTCACTAACATTCACTTCTACTGCTTATTGCCTCTCGGGAACCACCAGAGAACAATGACCGTTCGCCTTGCACAGTTGGAAAACAACTGTTTTTCTTTTTTCCCTCAAAAATCTAGCTAACTCTAATTCTTACAAACCATCCCACTTTTTTCAATCTCCTCCAATCAAAGCTCGTCATACGTATCCTCATCTCTTCATTCAGATAACAAACAACAATTTTTACCTACAATTATAAATTTCCTGAAAACTATTTACATGCTAATCGGTTTCTACAAATTCTTAAGAACTAACGGAGAAATATATTTTCTAAATATTCATTCTATTGTCTTATCCACTGTACAAGTCCATTTGCAAAACCCGCTCGCATTGTTCATGGTTTCACTAATTGCACTCATGTCACTCAAATATATTTTACAAAAGAAATAATTTATGCATATCTTTAAAATTTTGTTTACTACAGATAATCCAGGATAATGGACTTTCATTTCTTCAAAATATCTTTTATAGTTTATTAGTAGAATTATTATATTTTGTACTTTGAAATATATTAAGCAAACCAATATTATTTTTAATTTTACATAGCATAACAAATCCCCGCCATTTGATCTGCCGAAAACTGTTTGTTAATTTTTTAAATGACATAAGTTTTCCAGGATCAAATTATTTTACTATGTTATTAAAATCTACTCATGATACTGATAGATATCGGTGTTTTGTACACCGACTTTTTACAATTTAAATAAAGTGTAACAAAGTGTGTAAAATGTTAACAAAGACCTACGTTAAACCCGCTATGAAAAAAACAAGAGTTTATGCGTGGTATAAACGTTTCTAAGATGGCAGTACCGGTGTAGTTTCCAAGAAGGAGGGGTTCTGAATTGAGTAGGGGCTCTTCAGTACTTCTTGGAAAACACATTTGGAGAGGGGTAGTTCTCAACCTCAACCAATGGCTGATAGGGAAGGCCCTACAGATATGTGGGACAGGTGTGAATTATATTTTGGCAAATAAACACCCCAGCGGCGACCGGCCAGGTGAAGTAGGTGAAGGTGAGGTTCACCAAAAAAATATAATTAAATTGAGACAAATACACAAAAAATAAAAGTAA